AGAAAAATTGGGAAAGGAAAACACAATTTATCTAAATAGTACCTACTTTTATACAGTGGAAGGAGAACACTTCCAAAAAATGATGATAGGTGGCAGTAAAAACAAGTTTTATATTGAAAGAAGTAAGGAATTAAATGTTTCTTTTGTATAGTAATAGTTGAAATCAACTGCTCAAAGCTGATGTTGCATAATTAACACATAAACAAAAACTTATTTTTTTTTATCTGCGTTTTCGGAAGCATTCTATTTACATCCTATATTTATAATAAGCTATATTTATAAGCTCATGTGGTTAAATATAAATAATTAACCTGTTAAGTAGGTATATGGTGTTTAAAATTATTCTTTGACGAGATTTCCACTGCGTAAATAACAGTAATTAGAAATAAGGTATATATTTAAAATGTGACAACGAAATTGCAACATTTTAAAACTATTAGGGTGCTTCCACATCTGGCGAATGCTTCGCAGATAAGCAGCTCGCGAGCCGCTCGCGAGCTGCGCGCGTGCAGTCGCGGCAATGGTTTGGTGCTCAACTCATACAAGGTTCGTATAAAAAATAATTTTATAATATGCACGTGCGCAGCTTGCGGGCGGCCCGCGAGCTGTGCCTTCGCTGCGCCCACGCCGTATGTTGTCTACAGAGTAGATTAAGAACATATGATCTCCGGCCACCGTAAGCACAGGCCTGCAGACGGCGAGCATAGGTGGCTCGCCGCCCGACCAGAGCCAGACCCGAGCGTACAGCGCGTCGCGTTCCGCACGCGCCTTAAACAACCATCAGACCACCACGGATGGGGCCCAATAGGGCTGATGTCGATTCGGAGTCGCGGAGAACCTAACGGGTTACTAGGGCTCCGGCTCGAAATGCAGGAAAAGGAACGGGGTGGTTTTAGTCAGTAAGAGTCTGACACTCCCTTCCGCCTCACCCAGGCGGGAGCAGTCATTCGAAGATTTTCCCTCTTAAAAAAAAGAGTAAGAATATTTATCGCAACCCAAAGTCTTGTCTTTTTTATGGGATAAGCCGGTAAACGAGCAGGATTGCCTGATGGTAAGCAATCGGCGTCGCCCATGGACACCTTTTTTTTAAGGGGGGAAAATCATCGAATGACTGCTCCCGCCTGGGTGAGGCGGGAGGGAGTGTCAGACTCTTACTGACTAAAAACCACCCCGTTCCTTCTCCTGCACGTCGAGCCGGAGCCCCGGTTACCCGTTAGGTTCTCCGCGACTCCGAATCGGCATCGGCCCTATTGGGCCCCATCTGTGGTGGTCTGATGGCTCTTTGAGGCGCGCGCGGAACGCGACGCGCCGTACGCTCGGGTCTGTTTCTGGTCGGACGGGGAGCCACCCATGCTCGCCGTCCGCAGGCCCGCGCTTACGGTGGCCGGAGATCGTCCCGCGATCCCCGACGCCCGGTGTGTCCTTCGCGATGGCTGGGTTGCGAGGAGGCAGCGCTTCGCTGCCTCACGCGTCCCGCCTCCTCCTTAGCTAGCATGACTGCTTCGCAAAAGGAGGAGACGGCATCCCAATCCCCCTCGCTCCGCATCATGGCCTGCACTAGGCCCGGACGCGAGAGGTCGCCATCGCCGATCACTTCCCTGAGGACACGGCGGTGCTCAGCCCACGAAGGGCATTCTCCCACCGTGTGTTCCACCGTGTCCTCAGGGCGGTCCTCGCAGTGATGACACCCGGGCGTTTCCTCCCGCCCCATCAGACACAGGTACCTCCCGAAACTTCCATGTCCGGTGAGGACCTGCGTCAGGCGGTAGGTGAGGACGCCGTAGCGTCTCTCAAGCCACTCCTCAAAGAGGGGACTTACCGCTGCGATGGCAGCGAGCCCAGCCCTCGGTTGCGACAGTCGTTGCTGCCATTCCGCCATGAGATCGCGCCGGAGCTCATCCCGCCACGCACCTATCTGGCGCGGCAGCGGGGTTTCGCCCCGGCGACGTGCCTCCGCGCGCATGCTGTACACGCGCGCGAGCACCTTCGCCTCCAGATCCCACGGCGGTAATCCGGCAAGGAGGTTCGCCGACTCCCCAGAGATCGTGCGGTATCCGCGGATCATTCGGATCGCCATGACCCTCTGTGCCATGAGCAGCGTCCGAGCGGGACGCCGCAACAGGTTAGGCGCCCAAACAGGGGCGCCGTAGAGGGCCATGGACCGCACGACCCCGGCGTATAACCTCCGGCAGGAGGCGTTTGGCCCCCCGAGGTTGGGGAGGATGCGTTTAAACGCAGCCCCCGTCCTCTCCAACTTTGGAGCCAAACGTCGGAAGTGCTCTATGAAGTTCCACCGACTGTCGAGGACGAGTCCTAGGTACTTCATCGTCGTCTCGACGTCGATGGTAACTCCTCCCGCCGTTATTTGGGACCCACGCCCATGGACACCTGGAACACCACAGGCGTGACAAGTGCGTTACCGGCCTTTTGGGGGTTCAGAATTAGAGGACTATCGTCGTCTCGTTATTTTGTGTCGTATCTGCCGTACCTTGTTAGGGTTAGGTACAGGAGCTCCAAACGTGCGTAAGCAAATATTAATAAAAACTAGGAAATCTGTTATATCAAGAAAAACAGCAGCGAATAATAGGTTTTTTTACTATATTTTTTCCCTGTACGTTTTATAAGACAAACTTTTACTATAAATGAAACAATTGGAAATTGGGTACTCGCCAACTAATCAAATTCAATACTTTTTTCACATAACATAACATCACGCCTTTTATGCCCGAAGGGGTAGGAAGAGGTGCACATTATGCCACTGTACAATGTAACACCCACTTTTCACTATTTATGTTACGAGTCCCATGTAATAGGGGTGAGCCTATACTTTTTTCGAACTGTCAAAAACGACAAATTTCTATGAATTTTGAACGAGATTGTGTATTGTGACGTCATGTTTTTTAGCCTCAAACAGCATACTTATTTCTAAACAAAATGGATGGTAAAATACTAAAATTAGGTTGGTCATAAAATCAAAATAATGAAAGTGTGATTATTTTTTCATATTAAACAGTCAAAATAATTTATTCTCGATTAAGGAAAGTACCTAATTGTTTAGGGGGCTCAAACATTTTTTATATCGGGCCACGCCAAAGTTCGCTACACCACTGGTAAGAGTCGATAAAGGGAGGACATATTTAAATGTTCTGCCTCTCTGCCTGCCTCGTTGGCCGACTGGTCGTAAGTGCAACTGATGGGCAAGGGGTCTCGGGTTCGATTACCGGGTTGGGCAAAGTATTACTGGGTTTTTAAAAATTTTTAGTAGTACCACGAAGTCTAGAAATGTGCCTGGTATATGGCATTAGGCTCACTTACATGGGACTCATGACACTTATGGTATTACCTCTGTATGCACCTCTGCCTACCCCTTCGGGGATAGAGGGCGTGACGTTATGTATATTTAAATATACTATTTAACAGAGATCGGGCTGCAGTGATCTTTATTCCTAATCCTTATGAACTACCCTATCCAACCCGCCTGCCGAGTGTGGAGATTATGGCAAAATCGTCTTTTCCAGAGCAGGCCCATGATATTTAGTAGTTGTCTCTCTTGACCTGTTAATGATATCTTTCATAACCCTTAATATTTTTTTTACCAAATCATATCTTGTACTACCTACTGAAGTGGAAGGCCCATGCCCCACTTTTCGTCATTTATTTGTAAAAATTGCCCTGCGTAAGTATATTTATTTTTATATTGTCGTTTTGGATGATGCAACTGCAAACATATTTATCGTCAGGGCAAAGCGAACGGTACCTCTTTGGTACGCGTAAAGTCAGTCTCGTTTGATGTTATGAGCTGACATCGGTTAGCGTTGAAGCAATACATATTTGTATGTTTATGATGAAAATTTAGATGAAAAAACATACAGACAAATTGATAAACTCCTCCTTTTTGGCAAGTTGGTTAAAAAGTTTCAAAGTCGTGATGACAGATAGAAATAGATTGATGGAAATCGATTTTGGTGCATAAAATAGCAAAAATAAAATAATACAATTTAACAATGACAAGAATAAGCATGGGGATATTTAAAAAACTCATTATTTTCAGCGAATTTTCCTTGTGTCGATCGAGCTACTTAGAATAATAAATAATATTTTATGTTTGGTTTTTTTAAAGTAATAGACAATATGTATTTTTTTTATGTATGGGTTAACAGTTAACACTATAAACGCTGCGTTAGTCACGTTACTGTTAACTAGATGGACTAGTGGTGATCGGCGACATACATATCTTAAACAGATTTTGCTAATATCAAGGAAAAGCGAAATATGTAGTAAAAAAATGTTTTTTCGGAATCATGAGATTTGGAATGGGAATTTATTATAATACATCACGTTTGACTTTACGCCTCCGATTCCGCAGCTTTTGCCATAAATATATATATATACAGACGTTTCATTTTATTTTGAGTACCTTCCTTCAGATATTGACAAATAAAAAAAAGTTGGTTTTTCAAGTTATAAATGTTAGGTACTTGTGGTGTCGGTAGTGGTACATTATAAATATAAAAAATGTGAAGATTTTCCTTTACGGAGGTCGTGTTTTTGGCAGATATTGTTGACATGTGCTAAAAATTTTACTCAGAAAACCTGAGTTTTCAGCTATCACATACTAAATATACAGAAATTTCTTCATATTAGACATACATAATGTAGGTAGACAATAGAACTGCCTGCTACTTAACTTTACATCACTCGGTTATTTACAGTCTGTCTTAGCTTTAGAACACATTAACATTTACATCTCGGCTGTGAATCACTACAATAACAAGACAATATGAATATTATTTATTGTATGACACGTGTCGTCGGTTTATCGCTATCACCTAAAGGCTCGTTCATTCATGTCAGCTAAATTACAAACAATAATGTAGATAATATCCTCGTATCGTAGTATACGAGTGTTGATTTTGATAGGAAAATCTTTAACGATGGCGGTGGTGCGACGGCCGGCGTGCCTCTTCACTGTAGCTGTGGCCCAGTGTAGGTACTTATAACGGCGCGCCTGCCCGCCGACGCCACTCCGGCACGCTCCGTCACCGCGCGCGCTGAACTTTTTTTTGCAAGTATTCTAGACTTTCTGACGAGAACCGACGTTTGTGACCATGAAGCAAGGGTTGCTGGTGTTCCTCTCATTATGTGCTTTAACCACAGCCATGGTTCCCAGAGTTAGGGTAAGTGGCTTTTAACAACCAGCTTACGGATTGTGCGTACATTCTTGACTTCGTTGTTTCAGGCGAATGGTTTTTATGTTTGGTGCTGCAGTTTCTGATTTTGTGTGCATACGTTATTTTTATGTAGTGCTTCGAAAATTATGTGATTGGTTTTATGTGCTACGTCTATTACATTAATAGTTTATGTACGTAAGTTATCAACCTGCATCATCATTTCATCATTAAACGTTTCATGTTCATTATTTGCATAAAGCTTGAAATTCACAATAAGTTGCAACTGGCGGTGTTTCGAAAGTAAAATTACGTCTAGCCATCGAGTTAAGTTGTATTTTCTTAATTAATTTTATTTGTAATTTAATTCATATTTTTATGAAGGTAGAAAATTCAATGGAGATCCAATTTGTGAAAATCTGATATAATCGTTACAATTTTGGATATATTTTGTCTTCATCGTGAGAAAATAAGTGTACCTAGTATTATGTTCATCATCTATCTATTCTTGAAAATATTTTCCCAACATTGATCGGCAAAAGTTTATCGCGTTAACGTTGCGGTCTGGTGTAATCAGACGTTTTAACGTCATCTCTGTTTTTAAGAAACGTAAAATAGTCGCAATTCATTGTAAACATAATCTTTGTAAACATATTGTTATTATTGCGCATAACATCAATTCGTTATAGTAAAGATGTTTAACTCAATCGGATTTCTATTTTTAATTGTTTATTGTGCTTACACCGTCGCCTAAATATGACAATCGTATATTCAATAAGTTTACAAGCGATAAACACTTTCTCAGATTGAAATGTTAATGTAAAAGAACGTGATTTTCTCACCAATAAACACGCACATAGTAAACATTTACACTAGAGGTAGATATACGATTTATTACGACGTATAAATCGTACGCCTTGTGATTGAAATCTTGTTTGAACTGGCAACTTAGTTCATTGGTTAAACTGATAAAGGCAGATCAATATGAGATCATTCAAGGTAGATATGAATTACCTACCTATTCATAGGAATATTTGCAACAAAATAGTAATTTCAATGAGCTCATTTAGTAAGAATTCATAAACTTAATAGCGCAAAGGAGGAAAATGTTGGTACTTCAACATTTCATTATCGAACTATCAATTATGATTACCCACACATTACGTATTTTGAGTATTTTCTAAACAGAAATAACGCATTTACGTACGAAGCATTTGCGTATTTGTCAAATAATAACTTCTATTTGCGGACTGTGAATAATGCTTGCGTGTGGCCGACGGCGTGCGTTTATTCAAAACATTTTAGAACTGGTGATCTGAGCTTGAGATGTTCTTTTTTTAGTGAAAAAAATAAGAAACTAATCCTGTATATGACGTAGCAACACGCGCCTTTCTCGTGACTTTACAGCCCTTGTATAAATAAATATGGGAGAGCCCTGCGCGAATGTTCTCGTTTCATCCGAGAACTTTCGCGCAGAGCTCACTTATTATAGACGGGAAAATTATAAAACGTAGAAGCGATACAAAGTAGTGGAACGAACCGGAACCGGACTTTAGTGTTCCGGTGTCTTCAGGATTGTATCTACTGTAGATCCTGGCTTACAGTAGTTCTAGCGCTTTAAGAGGTTGTGACGGGCTTGTCCCATAAAATATGGTCGGCAACTCGCTATTCCTGAAACCATGCCCAGAAAAGGACACAGAAAAGCCTGGTACCCTATAGAAACAACGACTTTTACCTCATCTGCTTATAGTCTGACTAGGTAATGCAAATCTCGCGAGATTGGGGCTCAAGCAAGATTTTGCCATTGGCAATTTCGTAGTTTTTTTTGCAAATAATCGTAATATTGAGATAAATTAGGAAAAAATAATAAAAATGATCTTCTCTGAAAGTATCTTCCATAAATAATGCGTCAGTTAATATTTTCTGCGTTTTGAACCTTGCGATCATTCAGACTTTATGGGGAATGTAATCTCAATATCGCGAGATCTCGTCCATTTTTAGCAAGATTAATCTTGGTTGAAAAATTGAAGATTTTTCGCGAGATTAACGAGATTTAAGTACTAAAAGATTTTTGTTTTGATATTAAAGTGAAGACTAGATATTTCTTTCCATTGTTATTTGATCGTTACGTATATCAAAGTAGACTTCTACTTTAAATACATAAAATTAACTTAAAAAGTAGCTTTTGTCTCCAACGTCGTTAGCATAACTTTAGGTGAATTCTGTTGTTCCGATTTTCCTAATTTATTCAAATATTATGATTACCTACCTATTTGCAAAAACATACAAAACTGTCAATCTAGTGAGATCTTGAAATTGGCCAGATCTCGCGAGCTCGTATTTTATAATCTCGCGAGATTGGCATTCCCTAATTACAAGGCTTTTATAGGGTTAACTTATTTACACGATTTTTGACTAGGTACATATATATTTCGGTGTAAACGAATTAATTTTCTCAAAAGAAGATTAGACCTAGGTCATTTACAATCATTATTCTTGAGTTTAAAATTAGGTCAACAAATTACGCCAGTGTTGCATAATACACACATTATAATGTCGGTGTAAATTGAAGTAGTTAGTAGTGTAAACAATAATAATATTGTGTCAATGACCCGCATACCTAGTGCCGAATGTTGCTTCCTGTTTGTATGACATGTGAGCGCGGATCCACGTGACAGCCGTATTACTCAGTCATCGGGCATTCAGTTCATTCATGGTTTGTGGTGGTCGCAATGTCGCACTGTCGCAGGCGGCAGGCAGCTCGACCAGACGTCGGATACCTACGCTCAAGGGCGGCGCATATGACGCGCGAGCCGCGATACTTCGATTGATATTACTGATGCCTTAGTACGAATTGGTTTTACGTTTTAAGTATTCGAAACGAGTACGTGTTCGGCACTCTAATTGGCCGGCGCCAATGAACCAACCAATCAGCGCCGAATGCGTACTCGTTACGATTAAAATTCGTACTAAGATATCACGTGTTTCTGATAACTAGCACTTCCACTGGCTCGTCCCACCAGATTTACACTCAACTAGAAATACGAAAATTTCATCCTATTTTATCCACAGGTTGTACTAAAGTTTTTTTTATTTATTTATTTACACTTTTTGCAATTGTATACAATGGCGGACTATATTATCACAAAGGTTATCACATAGATTCTTAAACAACTTTTAATTTATTGATACTTTATTTATTCATTCAGCATTAATATACGATAAAGCTACAATAAAAAAATATGTTATATTATTTCTGGAATTTTGTAATGAAAGGTAAAAAAGAACCAAAAATTCTATTAAAATTCTACCAAAATTAACCTTTAAATGGGATACAATTTAGGCTCGTTATTGGTCGAAATTATTTCAACCAATGACATGGCGGACCGCGAAAGATCACTTCCAAGTTCGAATTGACAGTTAGGTAAACATAGAATAGTCTAGTAGCACAGAGTACTACTAGCAGTAGTACTAAATTATGTTGGTCTAGTCTATAGTCTAGAGTTCTATAGGTACTATCTACACAAGACCGCGCGATTCAGTTATCAGTATGTAAACAGAACTTCTTGTAGGTACCTTAAAATCGTACATTGCATATTGATGCACATAGTCTCACATAGGCTATTCGATAACTTAATTGCCCTTTGAAACAATGTTATCAATTACTTGAGAAGATTTATTTAAAGGGTTTTGTATAAAAAAATAATAAAAATGATCTGTGTTAGTTACAAGTCACTTTTTCCTAGTAGGTAGGTACTGAAGTACTAGTGCAATCGAGAATACGAACGTCATCAACAATAACATCTCATTTAAATTACCTATTAATTTAACTTCTTATTATGAACCTTTTATCTCTATCGTAACTTCTATTTCTTCTACTACTACTCCATCATAAAGATAATGACAGAGTATGAACATATTGAGTCCGATATAGTTAGGTAACAAAAACTTTAGATACAGTTTTGTTGTTTTGTCGAAATATGTAATTATTTTAAGAGATAAAGTTTAACTATGGGGGCTCGCATTGTCATCGTTGAATTTCATTAATATTACAGTAATCGTGATTTTGACACGTACTTCGACCGACGACTGATGCGGTAGTCGGCTTGATTTCAGTCAGTGATATACATGAAATAACAAAATCAATTTATGTTTCTCCAGCTTACGTGGCCAGCCAACCCTCACAAGAGATGTTTGCATCTCTCCCTTCTTCTGTTTCACTTACGTACGCCTTCAGGCAACTCACACCTTCTCAACTAATATAATCGATCCGAATAAATTTAATTTTATTGCTTTATTTTTCCAGCGAGCCATGAATACTGAGGAAGAAGAAATGCACCAGGTGTCTACGACATCGACTACTACGACCTCTAGCGCAGTAACGACATGTGCCTACCACACTCCGTGCGCATGGACCGTCTACAGACAGAACAATCCGGCCATAATAGAAATGTACATCCCAAATACATAGTAAGTCTCTATCTATAATTAGATATACATCCTAATTTGTATAAAAGTACTGAAACCTAGGTTATGGTTTCTTTAAGTGTTAACTGTTCGAAAAGAATTAGCCTGGTCTGCCTGGTATTGAGTCGTTGCACTGCCAACTGGTTGACGTTACGTGCTGGACGTCGTCAGTCGTTTGCTGCGCACATATACACACACAGTTCATGATTATTAGTCCCGGTGTGACTTGAAAGTAAAGCTTAAGAGGTCTTAGTACTAAGGCCTCAGTTCAGGTGCGGAAACCGTACAATTTATTCAAAATAATAAATCATAAATCTGTATACAATGTAAAAGCATTGATAAAAGTTTGATCGGAGGTCGAGAGGAGTATTCGCTGAGTATTATCCGATTTATAAAATCATAGTATTAGACCAAGTCTAGAATGGCACCCGATATAATAATATGGCAAGAGAATCACACTACCATTATGAAAAGAGGGAAAAGTGAGTGTGCTTGTATAGATAGGTACACCCACTTTAACATTAACAGAAATTAACGTTGCTTAATTTATTTTTAGTTGTACCTGCAAAAGTGACACAGTGTGCAAGGTAGTCGAGAACGATACATCGGTGAATACATTAATACATCGTTGTCGGTCACCGTCTGTGGACGACGTGGAGGACAGCTAGCGTGCCAACGCGCGGCGCCACATACTCCGACGTCGCTTTGTCTACGGGCCCACCGCTCCATCACATGACGTGGTTGAACAATCACATACAAACAACAACTCTCTACTGAGATACATATAACATACCCATTTGACTGCCTACGCTTGCCAGCGTACTTAATAATGTCATGCAAGTTGCAGGTAAATGTACCCCTAAGGGATCCCCAATGACTGGTATACTATTCTACATAATTATAAGTTCTTTTTTGAAAACTTGTCCACTTTTTAAGGTGAGACACTGCAGGACCATAATCCCCTTTTGATACTGATATCTGACAATTTGGACAGTTACACTTATGTAAAAATAATGAATTGAATATTATGATAATACATCCTTCTTCTGAAAAGTCCAGGGACTAGGGATCCAGGCTATTCATTGAATAATGTCACGGTTTTGTTAATTAGTTTGATTGAACATTAAGAAATATTGATCATGTAGTTACGTACCTAATTATCATCAACAACATATTGAACCCGCCTTAATTGTTTAAGTTTTATCTAATAACTTTTCTCATTGAACTTAATTCATAATTACAAAAGTTTAGGCATAAAAATGAATCGACGTTTTACTGCTTTTCACATTTTTCAGTTACTTACTAACTTGTGTATGACATAACAATAAAAGTACTTATTATTTGTAGTAGTTCGTTTTAATATCTAAGTAATTCATAACTTACCGAAGGAGATGAACAAGCACGTCATTTTTAAAGTTCCTATTTTTATTTTTTTTATTATTTATAATGTAACCTTAAGTGTATTGTCCGACCGAAATTGTTTTTACAACAGATACCGCATTTTACTTTGACCAAAACCGAAATGGTCGCATTTCTTACTTTAAAATTATTTTTGGTATAGGTAGATAGCTAACTACCTATATATTTTAACATAAATGATTTTTTATGACCTTTTGATGAATTGTATTGCCAATATTAAATGTCATTTCAATGAATATTATGTGACGTAGTTTAGTTATCGAGCTCGGTTTCGGTCGGTTTTCAGGAACCGAATCTTAATATCACGTGCCAAAACTTGCCGAAACCTGGGTACATTTCGGTTGGACTTATAAGTACCTAAGTATATATAATTTAGTTTTTGTAACGCCAATGTTAATGAAATAATGACATAATAAAATCGAGTTGTATTATTAGTTTAGATTAATTGTGTAAAATCAAGATTTGGCGTAATAAATAATTAAGGAGACATGCTGAGTTTTATTTCATCCTTCTAAATTTCTCTTAGCTTAATGTTAAAATACTTATGACTTCCAGAATGGCGGACGCCGTTATGAGGTAGATTCTTTTTAAAATGAGTGATGTGTCCGATGTAAAGGTACGACACTATACGCCGTACACTCAGTGTATACATCGAATGTCTCTGTATGAACAGAGTGTCTCTAATTAATTGTGATGCGGTACTGTAGCATCAGCCGCTGTAACAGTATAAATGTGAACAGTACAGACATAAATGTCTGACATTAGTGTCAGAATTAGTGTAGTAGCATAAATGTATGTTTTTTTTAATAAACCTTGTCCCACACTAAGATTTTCTCCTGTGTCGGGTGCGTTTACAATATACAAGTTCAGAAACACATTACACCCAGACCCGAAACAACAATTTGCGGGAATCGAACCGCGACACATTGCGCGGTAGACGGTTGCCCAGCCACCGCACCAAACGTGTTGTCAAACTTTTTCTTACTTCTTTACTCCTTCGTCTAAAAACATGAAAGTAAAATGAAAATGAATCTTTATCCTTCTCCTATCATCTTCGTTCCAGTGCCATTCAGGCTATGTACTTCTGATTAATTTTGATTCTACTAAGTCTTTATATCTTGACCTTATATTATTCAACTTCCAAGTCCCCATTCACAAATTGTGGTATGTTAATTTATATGGAATTTTAATCTGATCTAATTCTATCTTGGTCACATTCAATAAAACTTACGTCTGCATTCTTCTTCATCGGCACCAGGTAGGATGTATGGGCAGTGGTGTAACTACAGGGTGGCATGTCTGCAAAATACCTCGGGCCCCCAACTGGATGGGGCCTTGTTTTGAGGTTTTCATTTGAACTTTTCTATTTTTTATAGGAAGCGAGGCCCCATCCGATGAATTGGACACGGGCCCCAAACGGTATAGTTACGCCAATGTGTATGGGCGTATCGTTTTCCTCGCTCTTACCGTCACTCTGTAGCTGGTTCCAGGGATCTGATTAATTGGATTCTATGCCTTTGCCTATTTAAAAACTTTCTCCTCCATATTTGCTGGTATTACAGGTTTCGAGATCGAATGTGGCTATTTATTGGTCAAAAACTATTTTAATCTATCTTTCCTTATCTATTCGGGGAAAAACTGGTGTAATATCACACAAGAGAAATCATCCTAAAGCAATTTGTTTGTTTTTGAGGTCTTTGATAGCAAATTTAATATTGGGTACATGAACTTATAGAATGTCATGATAAAATATCGTAAAGCTAAAACAACAACGTAGGTACGTACTCAGTTTACACCACTCCACGAACTGATAACTTAATTATAAACAACTACCTACCATATGGAAAATATGCCTTCTTATTAAATAATCTAAACATGACTGCTCTACAAAATATGATTAGAGTAAACAACGATAAATCTGTGACATTATTATCAAGTTCATTATAGTACATGCTTTGATAGTTTATTGGTTTCAACTTTCAATGATAAAATTAATAATGTTATTGAATCTTTTTCGTATGAGGGTAGGTTGTGAGTTACTTGAGAACAAGTTTCCAATGTATAGCCGTTTTGTCTATGTAGATGTAAGAGGGGTAACTAGTATAAATGGTGCATCTATGCACCGATCGATCCTTTCATTCGACGACGGTTTACGTGTAACATTTCATTTATTGACTTTTTTCGTAAACGTTATTTTTAAATTAATTTTTGAAAAATGGACTCCGTATCCGTAAGTTTTAACAATGCGGAGGAACACAAACCTATATTTACACTAGCTGGCGATCAAAATCCTACATCAACTACCGTAAGTACTTATTGATGACGCGTTAACAAAGCATTGTTTGAATTCTTGAAATTATTTATTTAATGAATGAACAAATTAATTTTAACATCATTCAATCTATCAAAAAAGGCGACAAACATTGCGAACCTAGATATTTTGGGAAATATTTTTGTTATTTTTTTGTAAATACCTTCACTATAAATAATTATGTGATAGTTAATACTGTTGAAGGCCACAAGTTATCATCGCTACGTCCACATACGTATGGTATTCAACTAGCCCAACGTGGCAGCCCACGTAGGACCTATACTTATTCTCTCCACTAATTAAATACTTCTTCTTAATTTATATGTTATTTCTAGTGTTATGAACTTGTCTTACAGGATAGCTTCATGTTTCCGGATAATAGAAACGTGGCTCAAGATCCAGTATTGCCGTCTATGACACCAATGATGCCGGGTCTTGAAGGCAGTGAGCTCTTGAACATGCTGACACAACAGGAGCCCAGAGCCGCCGATTATCGTATGTACCTAATCTATATATATAAAAATGAAACTCGTTTCCCATCGTCACGCCATAACTGAGAATGGCTGGACCGATTTGGCTAATTTTTTTTGTTTGTTTGTTATTGTCAGGAGAAGGTTCTTATGATAGAAAAAAAATCCTGAAAAATCTTATGGGAACGGTAGAAAACGGGATTGCGCGTACGAAGTCGGGGGCAGAAGCTAGTTATTTAATGTAAATTGGAGGTGATCTTGAATTTTAAGCATATGTACCCTTGTCAGTAACTGACCAATAAGTTTTATAAACATAACGTTTTGTTTGTTTAGAGTATGACTTCCATATCAGTCGGTTATTATGTGAAATTTTCCATTCCGTATAGCGTAAATAAGTTATGAGCCGAAGAACATTGTTATGACTAAGTATTTGTTTCTACAGCGCCCGCAGTCGCCGATATGGAGGAATTGTTGTCAAATATTCGTCTGAATGGATCTGACATGTTCACTGAAGATGCCAACGTTAATAATTATTTTTCAGGTAATATTGTTTATTTAACGTCCTAAATTTGAATAGAAAGTTGTTTGTTTCCCTAGTTCATATGTTACAATAATTTAAGCAGGTTGATGATGTGTTCGACTTTGTTGTCGGCTACTTGCGATCTCAATCCAGTCTTTGGATTAAAGACAACAATTCTGCTGCTAAACCAATATTTAGCAAACTTGATATAAACTAGGGTATTAAACCCTTAATAAAGACTTCAATAAATATTATTGTATGTAAAATTTAAAATTGCAAGGTCAATATTTGGCTGGATGTGTGGAGTTTCTGTCAAGAACTAAGATTTTATTAATTTCGACCGTAACTAAAGATACATCGAGACTATTTTTTAATGACAGATTTTTAATAATATCAACAGGATTTGGTAGTCGTACCGAGTCCGCATCGTCTAGCGTTTGGCCTGACGCTGCGACACCGCAGCCCTCGAGGAACAGCGAAATGATGGATACTTTCGACTTCCTCGTTAAAAGTATGTGATTCGTTTTACTATTTACTTCCCTTTCTATATTATTTTTCTTTCTTTATTCTACGCTATTTCATTCGGAAGATAATGTCGTATTATGACACTTAGTTCACATGTCCTAAGTACTATTTACTGCACATTGCGGAAGTAGGGTGTCAGTCAGTCAGTCAGTTAGGATAGGAATGAACATTTCTAATCTCTGTTTCACTTTCTTATGGGCTAAATTCAGTAACGCCCGTATACTGAAAAGTTATTCAATTTTAATTTGTACTTAAATATCGTGCCGTATCAGTCATTTTACAAAGAATTTATAGTGACAGAACTATACTTGAGCGTGACTTTAAATTGAGTAGCCGTTCAGTATTTGGATATGAGTGTTTCAGATGCTATTTTGATAGAAAATGTATGGACATACAATGTGAGCTTAGAGTTTACTGCTGTTTTCTGATTTATAGGTTTGTCGTCGGCAAACACATACGTGTCGATGTTGACACGAGAGCAACTGTCAGTGCTGCGATCCATTCGTCCTAGTCTGTTGTATGAATTCCTGCAAGAAGTGGCCAAAGCACGCAGCGACCGCCGTATGCGACGCGCCCTACCGAACGTAAATATTTTCAAATGATTGTCTGATAACTGTATTTTTTAACATTGATACTAGTTTAAACCGGTTAGATGTTTAGTTTATAAGTAGGCATATAAGGGGAAGTTTGATAAAAAGTTGAACTTTTAATATTTATGGTACCTATCGGTATCTAATATCATTATTCAAGTAGGTATTATTAATAACGTTGTGTGGTTACAGGAATGTGCCTTCTGCAAGAATAACGGCGAGAACGAGGAGTGTTACTCTTCACATGCACTGAAAGATTTACGCGGTCGTGTCTTGTGCCCTGTTTTGCGCGCTTTCCGCTGTCCCCGCTGTGGCGCCACTGGTGACAGGGCCCATACTATCAAGTATTGCCCGGAGGGCAGTGAATCAGGTAACACATTATTATATTATTATTTCCTTTATTTATTTTCATACTTGATTTATATATTTTTAAATATTTCATTATATGTATATAAAAAAAAAACATTTAAAAATATAAAAAGCAGTAGCCCACCAGTAACGGGAGAAATCCAAGCTACCGGTGGTCAGGGCTCCAGAGAAAGGAATTTCCGGACAATACGCGCCGTGTCCAGAAGTACTGCTTTCTGCATCAGGCCCTTGACCCAACCTTCTAACGCTAGCCTACTCAGATGTTGGTCGAGGCTTTTAGCAATTAGGCCATTGGCAGATACGACTATCGGCACAATGACTGCTGAATCCACATCCCACATGTCGACAATCTCATGAGCTAAATCAAGATATTTACTTGCTTTATCTTTTTCAGCTTTCACAAGATTCTCGTCATGTGGGATTGTTATATTATTATAAATATTAATGTTACAAAATAACGTGTTCTATATAACATTTATCATTGTGCCTTCTATTCACAGGTAATAAATGTCAAAAGGATTGTTGGTTTCTTTACAAGTAATTTTGTATCAGCCATACAATAATTTGAGAAAATCTTCGATGGTTTCGTCTAGTCTTTGCGCTCTTTAGGATGATGTTTGGTCATAAACTAGAAAACTTGAGTTGAATTTTTGTTTCATAGGTTCTGGAAGCCTTTCGTCCCGCAGGCGAGTGCCTCCTTCGACGTCGCTGCTGTTGAATGGCGCCGGCGCCAACAGTTCACGCTCGCAGGCCGGGACGTCTGCGCCTTCCGCTTCCCCAGTCAGCTCACCAGCCAACCCGGGACTCTCCTACTCATCTCTCTGGACCAACTTTGGTCTAAACTGATCCTTGACGAGTGAATACAAACTACTGGTCTCAATAATCTATCTTTTGTCAAGCATCGATAGAATTTTAACACACCCATATAAAGTGTCAAAATTGTATCTCTAGTCCAATCGATAGATTATCGAAACTTGTTATTGCTAGACAGCGAGTATCCTGGGTGCAAATATTAGATTGTTTTTGGATATAACTGTACCATTTGTTGACTATATCTACGCACCTCCAAGGACGCTCGTTATTACTGTTCACTTGTGTGAAATGTACTATGGAATACTGATTCACGATACCTTAAGCCTCGGCTTTGGTACATTTTTTTCTGAGACCATAAACACAAAATATGGTTTTCTGTTTTAAATATTGCGTACCGGTATTTATTAACAGGGAAGCTGTATTTTCAAACTAGAGTTCGGTCATTTTTCTACTTTACAAAGTATAAAAGTGCACTGTAAAAGAACATTAGTTCGAAATATTTTCAAAGTATGCAGGCCATGCTTTGGGTCAAACACCTAATTATGGTTTCAGAACATTTTCTATTTACATTGTTTCTCTAATTAATTTTTCATTGGTTTTAAAAATATTTATACCTTATGTTATCAAATGTCTGAAGTTGATTAAAATTAATAATAATATGTAATAACATCGAAATATTCATACATCAGCTACAATTGAATAGTTTCTATTCTAAATCTTAATGAATTTATTGTTAATATATTTCTCCTATAATCAATTTACATTATTTCATGTACACTGCAATACTTTGGTAAAATTAACTTTTGGCAAAAAAAATATTCTAATCACTAGTTAGTGTACCAATGAAAAATTTTCCTTTCGCTTTTTGTAGAATCGAATATATTACTTATTTTGAGCATTACTTGGTATTTTTATTTCTACTAATATCCATATTAGCAAACTTATCACATTTTAGCTTCCATCGCTCCACAAATTGTTGTTTCGGGGGGTGTCATGTGTATGTGGATTTTATGTTTGTAAACGCTCCCACGATACAGGTAAAAATCCTAGTGAAGAGAAAACTTTTTTAAACCCCAATAGGCAACAAAAAAAGAAAATATAGGTAAAAAAAATTAATAAACATATTCACCTGTCAAATATTTTATTCAAATAACTATTACAATAGACGATAATACATTAACAGTGTAACAGAGTATTATTACGTGGTACGATAATGTTTACTAAACACAAACGATGCTGAGGCCTGCCTTGCATTTACAGCGAACACAACGATCCTTTATATCGTAAACATCTATTGAATAACAACTCCTTAGGATGAGACCATATAACTGCGTACTGACTACGCATTGAAATAATGAATCGATATTGCTGTATCAGAGTAATAAATGCGTTGGATACATTTTTTTATTGGTTGGTCGGCGTTTGGCACTTATGTTGTCTGATGATAAACGATGATGCGGCCTACGATGGAGCACGGCTGCCCATAAACAACCTACTCACTCGAGATTTAATCTCCTAGTTCCTGACTTGAGTCCGACTAACTTCTGGTACAAAGCGACTGTATGATTCAGTACTCAATGTTTGCTTGTCGTTTGCGATATATTCTTGCGTTATATCACGCCATTGTATTACTATATTTTTTTTAGGAGGGAAAATCATCCAATTACTTCTAACGCTCGGGTCAGGGCGAGAGGGAGTGTCACTTACTGACAAAAAACCACCCTGTTCCTACTCCTGCACTTCGAGCTGGAGCCCTGGTGGTGGTCGGACGGCGAGTCACCCGTGCTCGCCGTCCGACGGTTTGCGATGGTTTTTTTTTGCAACGAATTCGCAGCCCAGCTCCTTCCCCTTTTACAGAAAAGGGTGGTCGAATAATCAGTCAAGGGTCCAATAGAAACAAATACATGTAGTCAGAACTCTATAATATGGCCTCTTTCCTTAAACAGATTATATCAAAACTTTTCTTACACTATCTTATAAATGTGCGACAAACCCCAACATATCAATTCGACAAAGTGCCTCTATACCATAATGGCACTTCAATTTAATTACATTAGTCAATATCATATCAATAATACGATTTTGAACTTCAAAATCAGAACTATAGACAATAGCAACGTTTTAAGATGATTAAATTCGTTCCAATTACAAATTCGTAACTTTCGTGTTCGCTTTTACATAGAGGGCACCACTTTCGAAATTGGTATCCGAAATATTACATAGACAATGATTACATATAGAAAAGTTCTTAATAGGAATAGAGTATTAATAACATCTAACAAGCATTATCATTACAAGGACTAAAATATTTCGTTATGTAAATTCGTCGAAATAGTAATACGGAGATAATGAATAAAACATAGTTAAATGTAGTTAATGAGTTCATAGCATTTTGTTTAGATTCTTCTAGAAGTTTTTAACAATTACGAAAAATAAATCGTTCCATAAAGAGGTTATATATTTACAGAGTAATACAGGGTCATACATACAATACTGGTAAATTTAAAAATTGCTGTATTTAATCGCAAAAGCAATATTACAGAGGCAAGTTGAGAACATTGCAATAATTTGGCAAGTGAACATTACATTTTTACACTAAAATATATAAAAAAATGGAACTAACAATAAAAAAATTCATTGAGATTCACCGTATGAGCCGAATTCTTAAAAAAAAATACATTTAAATGCCAACATTTTTGGAATGGCTTTATATTTTTTAAAATAGGAATGTTAATCGCACTTGGATTTCATAAAAAGCCCCGCAATACATTTAGAACCTTTAGACAAATACATAGGCCTTGAATATTCAACCTTATAGTTTCCAACTAACTAGGTATAATTTCTAACGTTAATTGAAATTGCGGTTTACACATTAACTCTTCGAGGAAAGCTCTACTGATTTCAAGTCACACTGGGATTCATACTCCCAAAGCGCGGACGACGACAGCCGACGCGGTAAAACTTTCAGAGCTTTTCTGGAATAATTTACGCGAGTAACGCCCAAATACTGAAAGGCTACTAAATTTTAAGCTGTAGGTACTTAAATATCTTGCCGTCTCTGTCATTTTACATAGAATTTGTAGAGACAGAACTATATTTCATCGCGACGGCGTTTGAGTATATAGGCATAAGCCACAAATTTCAATTAACTGAGTACGTCTCACGATTATACAAAAATAATATCTAAGTAACGTTATAAAACCAATACTTAAAATCTTTGGTTTACTAAATATAAATCACACCACCCTTTGAATCATGGCTCTCTTCACAATTTGATGCGATTGCGCAATGGGATTTATTGAGAAGTAAGACTTTGAGAGCTCAAGAAATAGACCGTATTGTATCTCAATATCGCATGTAATTTCATACATGTTGTCATTAAAACATCAAGTTTATTTCCATACTGTTAAGGTACATTATGTACTGTCAATCACTGAACAGGTTAATCTCCTGTACTATGTCTAAATATATTATTCCAGACAATACATTTCTGTTAATATCAAAGTATACATACTTAATATACTAACATTTAAAGCTTACATCTTGCCACCCCAACCATTTAATACGCTATGCATCAATAACATTATTTTATTAACAATAGTAATTATTATTATTACAATAATATCGATTATTTTTATTATATACACCTCAGCTTGACGCTAAGTCAACAAGAATGGAAGTAACTGGTGATTATTAGGCCATAGGCCCAGCGCATACTAAAGGAGGCGCGGCGAAGATACTGAAAATATATCAATTTAAAATAAACTTTAACTACTATAGCATACGCATAAAAACCGCATGCCAAAGATTGATTTTAGTGAAATGCGCACGATGCGTCGTTAAGCTTCTTTGACATGCCGTTTTCATCCGTATGCCATAGTAGTTAAGATTTATTTTAAATTGATTCATTCTCAGTACCTTCCAGTTTGAGCTGGACCACAGAAAATACGTTTAAAGATCTACGAAAGACCTATTGTTGTCTTGCTACAGAATAATAGTCTTTTAATTCTTTACTATTCCGTGCATCAAACGTTTTATCTCATTCATAATGGTGGAGTTCAAAGGATGTGTTTTTTGGTTAGTAAAGTTTCTACAGTAACGGCGCTAGTGTAGTTTTATTCTACTTGGCACCATTGCTAAGAGCGTTTTAAAAACATTAAACTTCGTTGAATGATTAATTGTATTGTAAAATGATTATGTTTGTTTGGCAGCAAATAGTTTCTTAAGACATTTTTTAAAACGCCTACATTTCATACAATTTTAACAGAGATCACTTTACCGACCTATGGTCAAAGAAGCACTAGCATGTTTTCAAATTATTTCATTTATTTAATTAGTCCGCTTACAGCCAGCTACAAGGATTTCGAACAAGATATTTTAAATATAGCATCAGTTATTTCACTATAGTACTATATTCATAATATCATAAAAACGTACAGGTATAACGTAAATATATAAAAAGATTCGTAACATTGAAGGACTTCAAAATGTCCTAACAGCCTTTAGTGTACTTAGCACAAAATGTCTTAGCGTTGTATAGAGCAATATTTTAACCCTTTACTTGGGAAGACCATAGCCTAAAAACATTATCTAGCATATCAAATAAAGTACTAAAAAGATACAGTACAATATGTTATCTGTGAAACTAATCTGACAACCACAATTTGTGTGTTGCCAGATAACAAAAAATATTTTAAAGCAGTCATAGTGATGCCACGAAAAAAATCGACTAAGCCGAATTTTAGCATTAGCACACCATGGAGCTAGAAAAAAAATCTACACTAAACTTTTTTAATCTGCTTTAAATATAAACTATTTCACAGAATATGCACGTTTACCTCGATGTGTTTAATAGTTCTGAGTCTGCATGTGTGACGTCACACACATTACGTTTTGGTTCCGCTCGGCTAGTGAGCATGACTGGTCGCTACCACAGCCATCGCCGCCGACCGCCCGACTCGTTGCGTCATTCACTTGGTTGTTCTCCTGTTAACAAATCAAAAGAGTCAAGCATAGATTCGATTTTTAAAACTAGTAAATAATTCTTTCATTAACTACATTTAAAAAAATCGACTTCAACCCCTTCTTCTTTTGAAATCGGTTAATTAATATACTGAAATGTTCTCCCAAGTGTCACAAACACTTTGCTGAAACCTTCATCTAAATCGGTTGACGTAATCGCGAGATAGTCGCACACAAACCATACATGCAGGACAAACTGAAACCTCCTTCTCTTAAGTAGGTTAAAAATATTGGATGCTTTATTTATTCTGGTCTCAAATTTTAAATCAAAACGCAAACTAAACAACATATTTAGATGATATGGTACAGACAGGTGGTAGATGGTTTGAAAAAATACGTACAGTATATTTATTTTAAAACAATAACGTGGGTTATTTTACAAATAATGAGCTTATATAGTTGAATGTAGTTTGATCTACTGGACTTGTAACATTCCAGTAATCCGATTCGCCCAATTCTCTAATTCGTAAACTCTGAACCCCCAAAATACGCAATACGCTTAACTCGTGAATTAACGCTTGTGTTTCGTCGGGAGAGTGAGGTTCCCAGAGGCCCAACATCCCCCCCCCCCCTTTCCCCAATCTCGTCAATCCCTGAATCCCCGACATTCCTCAAATTCTCCAAAAGGCCGATAACGGACTTGTAACGCCTCTGCTGTTCCAGGTGTCCATGGGCGACGCCGATAGCTTACCATCAGGTGATCAGTCTGATCGTGTACCGGCTTATGCCATAAATAAAAACAAAATAAGCAGCGCTGCTCGCTTACCATCAGGTTATTTGGTAGCATGTTTGCACCTCTATTCCAAAAAAACTCAGAGTATTGTTAAGATATAAATATATTACCTTCGTTGTTGTTATGCTTGGCTCGTACGAGTCGCTCGGGGTGTGAGTGCGCGAGCTGCGTGTAGTCGCGGAACACTTCGTTGTACGTGTCGTCGTTTGATGACATCTCACTCTCCCGCATCTCCTCGTTCAACTTCGTCAGCCTTAAACTAATTGGCATTTATTGAATAATGTGTGAAATAATTATTAAGTAATATAACTTAACTAAAGATCGCGGGTTACTCACGTGAATATACTGAGAAAAGCTCTACTAGTTTAGTATTTCTCACGATAGTTATTATAAAAACAAAGTAATATAACAATTATACTAAGTGTTGATCTTTAATTTTCACCTACTCCGATTGGATAAATTTATTAGACACTAGGGATTGGCACATAAAATATTTTGTACGAAAAAATACAAAACGTCAAAAATACAACAATGTAAACCACATTGACATTTGAAATAAATAAACACTGTACAGTGCTTAGTTCCATATTATAAAATCAATCGTGACACCAAATAAATAAAGTAAATTTTTGCATACACATGGAAACCATTTTTAGACTATTTTATATAAATAAATAATTACTTACAGTGTAACAATATCAGCGTTGGCATTATTGACGGCGATGTCCAGCGGCGTCTGCCCGTCCTTGTCAACTATCGACTGGTCTGCTCGGTACTTGAGTAGTAGGCAAACCTATAACCAAAATTAAGCTTTTTAAAATCCCCTTCATCATCATTTAAAACTGATCTATTGGTAGTTCGAAAATTAAGTTGGGTTGCCTTGTGCCTGACATAAATGGTTTTTAAAATATTATTACGAAATTGCTAGCTGCCGACTCGCTGACCGAGTGGTCGCAAGTGCGAGTGCCGGGCAAGGGGTCTCGGGTTCGATTCCCGGGTCGGGCAAAGTATTACTGAGTTTTTAAAAAAAATCTCAGTAGTATAGTAGAGTCTGGAATTGTGCCCGGTATATGGCCCCTATTACATGGGACTCATAACATAAATGCCATTTACTGTTTTATGTTGTTATTCTGTTGTGAATTACGCTGTGTTTCTGTTATAATACTCATAAAATAAATAAAAAAATAAGAGATATTGCAAAAAAAACTGTTTTTAGTCGCCATTTTTCCAAGATGGCGGAGCAAACGGCTCACGTAGAAGGGTACAAAATGGAAATCAGAAAGAGAAAGAGACATCAAAATCTACAATATTGCCAATTTTTTAAAGTCTCGGAAAACATTCCAGGTTTGTTTATCGAAATAGGTGTCTTTTTTCTTACCTGTCCAGTGTGGCCAGCTTCCGTGGCGAGGTGTAAAGGAGTTTTCCCATCATCGTCCTGCATATTCAACTTGCTACCGTTTAACAGAAGGAATGAACACGCCATCACCGAGCCCTGTAATAAATAACTTAATATTAACGGAGAGTACACTTTTCGAGGACACTCAACTGGTTACAAAGTGTGACTGGGATTCTTGATCATAGTTAAAATATTTACATTGTCTCCATTAGTCAATTATGGCTATTATTAAGTCGTATTCTCCTGTCTACGGACATATACTTTAACACAATGGAATAAAGGTTTAAATAAAAAGTTATATCGTTTCAAAAATGAACGCTTCGGGCTTTTATGACTTCATTACATACTGCCGTAGCGTGTAATTTGTCTTTGTTCTCTGATTTCTTAAACAGATTATGATGATCTGATATTTTTAACAGCAGTCGTCAACCCTGCCAAGCGCGGATATTATGGAAATCTTATGTAGAGGGGGCCTATAACCAATAACAGTAATTATCAGCTCTCTCAAGCTGTCGTTGATGATGATAATGATACCAAATAACTTGGCAGTATTACGACACGGCGTAGCTTACACTGAGCACGGCGGCATGTAGTGGAGTGCGTCCAGTATGTGCCCGCGCGTGTATGTCTGCGCCGGCCGCTGTGTGTGTGTGTGTGTGTGTGATGTACTTACACTGAGCACGGCGGCATGTAGTGGAGTGCGTCCAGTATGTGCCCGCGCGTGTATGTCTGCGCCGGCCGCTGTGTGTGTGTGTGTGTGTGATGTACTTACACTGAGCACGGCGGCATGTAGTGGAGTGCGTCCAGTATGTGCCCGCGCGTGTATGTCTGCGCCGGCCGCTCTGTGTGTGTGTGTGTGTGTGTGTGATGTACTTACACTGAGCACGGCGGCATGTAGTGGAGTGCGTCCAGTATGTGCCCGCGCGTGTATGTCTGCGCCGGCCGCCAGTGCGCCGCGCATGACGGCGACGTTGTGAGCGCGCGCTGCCTGCGATAGTACTGCGTCCGGAGACAGACGGGACATCTCCTCCGCCGCTAGACAATAAAAAATACTTGTAAGTGCTTGTTGACGTTGAATGCGCAGGCGCGAGCACGACCTCGTGTTTACGTTGACCGCCACGCGTTTACACGAGCGATAAACTTAGTTGGAGGCGCGAACGAAACGCTCGCTCTATCGCTAGTTCGACGCAAACACATTACATACAGTTTTAAGACGACCGCGCGTGCCACTCGTTAAGTTGCCCGCTACTTGCACCGCACCTGCGTTTTGTACTTTAACACTTGCACGTCGTGTCATATGGTTGATATTCCGCGACTGCAGTCGCGAGTCAGCGTGGACAAGGAGACTTTAATTTCTAGCTTTCAACTACAACAAATATTTTTTCAACACTAGCCATGGCTCGTCGCCACATGAGTTTTAGTAATGGACTCGTAGACACATATTATACACAACTGACCTAGTTCATCGCTGTCCTCTCCCTCAGTGGAGTCGTGATCAGAAGGCAGGCTGAGGTCGACGCCGCGGTCACTGGCAAGCTCCGTACCAATCAGTAGCACTGGACTGCCATCTGATTTGCTTGAACTTTCTGACACTACAATCAAAGGCGATAATATAGGTCTTCCTATTTTTACCGACTTCAAAAAAAGGAGAAGGTACTATGTTCGGCTGATTGTTTTTTTTTTGTTTGTTCGCGCAGTACTCCGCCATTTTTTCTTAATGGGATAATTTGACAAAAGGTTTTATCACCAAATGGTAAGCAATCAGGACCTCCCTCCCATTTCGAAGGATTTTCAAGAGGGGTTTGGGTCCCAAGTAACTTACACAACGCAAGCATTGTTTCCGAAGGTAATGTGTCTTATTGTATGGTACTAATAACATAACTCAATGAAGTTAAATGTGTGTTTATGTAAAACTAAATACGAATATTTACCACTTGTATTACTGTTGGCATCGCTCTTCTCATCATTGATAGTTTCTGGCACTGAAGGAGCAGCACGAACTCTACAAACAAGAAAACAATATTTCTTTTTATGGCATAAGCCGGTAAACGAGCAGACGGATCAAATTATGGTAAGCAATCGGTGTCGCCCACGGACACCCAAATCACCAGAGGCGTTACAAGTGCGTTGTCGGCCTTTTGGGAAATGGGAATTTAAGGATTTTTGGGGATACGGGGATTGAGGAGATTGGGGAGGAAAGTAATGTTAGGATATGAAAATTAAAAATCTAATTAGTCAGTGAGGTAATTAAAAAATATTAGACACGTATTTTTTATTTTGTCGTGGAAGTAGTAATAATAGTCAAATAAAACGAATTAAAGTTTAAAAGTAGAAGCTAGCTACGTCATTTTTAGTAACAAAAGTGACGTCATGCACTATTTCAAATCAATATATCGTCGAAAGTATTTGTTTCCGAAAATAAAAAATACGTGTCTAATACTTTTTAATAATCTACCAAACAGTTATTACAATAAAAAACTAGTCATCTACCCTATTGGGGTTACACAAATTCGATATTAGAATAACAAGACCGGTGGGTGATTTTTTATTTCAGCAGATTTCATATGAAGATAAAGATATTTTCAATATTGATTAATTGATAAAAATTATTTGGACTTTTGCGCAACCATTAAGTTTGCGCAGTTACACTACAGCGCAACCGGGGCCTTAAAAAGGATGTGCCCATGGTCTCCATTATTTATTTAATTAAAGTACTACAGAAGAAATGTGTACATAGATGTTACCTGCGCCTAGCCCGTCGTACAGACCACCGTCGCCCAGCTCTGAGCGGACTGTCCGCCGCGGTCAGTGTCCCGCCGCCCATCAAGTCCTTTACAAACAGCAACGACACGTATTTCGACCGGATCCAAGTCTCCCGCACATTCCTGTAAATAATGTTTTGTTTAAAAAACCACAGGCCACTACAAGGGATAAAATCATAGTGTAGGGCAACTCGTTTGTGATTTAAAACCATACAAATTCACAAACACATCACACCCGGACCAGAAACAACAATTGGGTATTTTCGTAGGTCAAAAATAAATTATTTTGATTTTTCAATCTAATTATGTATATTCACAAATAATTACTATTTCATTCATACATTTGATGATGTACTTCATTTTCGATTTATGCTAGCATTTTTTTTCAGAAATAAGTATGCTATTTGACTCGAAAATACGATGACGTAATAAGTTAGTATTTGGTACAAAATTCATAGAACAATATAGTTTGCCGTTTCGATAAAAGTATTGAATTTGATTAGTTGTAAAATACTGTATTTGTGGATCACACAAAGAGTTGTTAGCACCGCAGTAATTAAGTTACTCAGCTACAGCGCCTACGCCCGGCTACTCAATTTTAAGTTGTACTTAAATAGTGACAGAACTATACCGTACTACTACGGCTACACAATTTTAAGCGCGACTTAAAATTGTGTAGCCTTTCAAAATTCGGGCACTAGACCACCAGAGGGCCCAGTTCAACTTTGTTTTACATTAACGCGATCAACACGTTTATGACGTTCGGTGCTCTGATTGGCTGCTCCAGGTTAACCAACCAATCAAGAGTGCTAAACCCAGTAACATTTTGATCGCGTTAACGTTAAAAGACAGTCGCACTAGGCTATTCGACTTAATCGAAGCGCGAATCTCCTATTGTTGTTATTGTTCTAGTAGGCAGAAACTGTACAACGACCATCTTTAGCTTTCATCACATTCTGGCATCAAAACCAAAACTAAATCTCTCATTAGAAAATACTTTCCAGGTCTGTACCTCGGATGCGCTATTCCTAGCGCAGAAAACAAATGATTAAAGCATTGAGGTATGTAGCTTATGACACATCTCTTTTTTTTTGAGGGAAAATCATCAAATGACTTCTCCCGTCCGGGTGAGGCGAGAGGGAGTGTCAGACTCTTACTGACTAAAAACCACCCCGTTCCTTCTCCTGCATTTCGAGCCGGAGCCCCGGCAACGCGTTAAGTCTTCCGCGGCTCCGTATCGGCATCAGCCCTGTTAGGCCCCATCTGTGGTGGTCTGATGGCTCTTTGAGGCGCACGCTACACTCTGGGCGCCGTACGCTCGGGCCTGGTTCTGGTCGGACGGCGAGTCACCCGTGCTCGCCGTCCGCAGGCCCGCGCTTACGGTGGCCGGAGATCGTATTATACATCACTTACGTTTCACAATCCGGTGTAGCTCTTTGTATCGTTGTTCCTTCAGCGTTAGCTTCGTAGATCATATTCACTATTTTGTTACCCAGTTCTGCCATTACCTAGAACAGAACACAATTATTCATTAGAATATATTCAGGAACCGCTCTAAGACGTCATTTACCACGCGCGGCGAAGACAGTTTATAGTTATGAGACCCGGTGAGGTTTGAAACTAATCGTGCATCCTTGAATAATTATCAAACTCTCCTAAATTTTAAGGAACTTCTAAGCCAAGATAGGTGATATTGAACTTGATTTTGGTTTTTACCAACTGGTAAGGGACACCTAACAGTAAGAGGTTAGTTTAGGTGCTAGATCAAGCTAAGTAACTTTTAGTTAAGAGATGGTTCAGGGGTGGCGGGTAAAAACGACTAAAACTGTCTTAAGAGGTCTCATTTTTCTTTAACTATATTTATTCTTTCCTTTATGGTTTATAATATAAACTGTAAAGATATAAATACCTTTATAATTTCAGGTTCCCAGTCATCCAAAGTAAGGGATCTTACTTTACTAACGTGTACACCAAGCGAACGATGTATGCCAGAACATTCTGGAACAATTTGTTCAAAAGTTCAGTTTATTTTTATGTCTAAGACATAGAAGTGACAATATAAAATTAACTTTATACCTAAGCAACAAGGATTATATTTCAAAAGCACACAAAGTTAAAGAGAATTAATAGAAATTGTACTTTATGAAGTGCAAATAAAGGTTATATTTCGGAAGCATATAAACTTAGCAGTGTTCTTACCTATACAAAGTGTAATGCCAAGATTGATGCTAGCCCAGCGAGGGTTAGGGCTTCCACAGTCACAACAATAGTTATTTCCTGGAATACTTAACAGTTGCTCCCATATCCTAAAACAATAGAAATGAAGATTAAAACTCTTATTGCAGAGTAACTATTTACTAGTAAATAAAATCTACCAGCAAATGTTTGAGCAAATGTTTGCCATCGAAAGTTCAGCTAACATAATATTTATTGGGTTTTCCAAATTTTCAGGGGTTAATTGACTTTTACTCCATTCTGGACAATTTTATTAGATTTTCAACTTTATTGCTTGGATTTAAAGTCGAGAATCCAACAGGGATGATGACAGGGTATGAAAATTAATAATCTATTTAGTCCGTCAGTTAGGTAATAAAAAATATTAGAAACGTATTTTGTCGTATAATAAAATGATACTTACCTACATATAACGAATCAAAGTTTAGGAGTGGGGGCTAAAACGTCATTTCTACGTATAAAATGTACATAGAAGTGACGTCACGCGACATTTCAAATCAATATATTGAAAAAAGTATTTGTTTCTGTAAAAGATATAAAATACGTGTATAATGTTTTAAAATAATCTACCAGACGGACATTAAAATAAAAATTAGTCATCTACCCTATTAAAAACACAGATTAGGGGCGATTGACCTGCTGCACAAAAGCTGTACAAGTAAAAGACGAAAAGACGTGGCTTGAAACTTGTAATCTCTTAGTTAAATATGTGATAACTACATAGTATAAAAAAAAGTTGCTTTCCGCCCTCCGTGTGTCTGTGTTTCGATATTTAATATTACACAACACATTTTGATTGTTTTTCAAGAGCTAGGATTAATAACTCCGAAATGCACAAGTCCGAAGCCGCGGGCGAAAGCTAGTTACTAAATAAAATAAATAACATTTTAATTGAAGTACCTGATCTTCTTCATACCCCTGACGTTGGCGACGCTGTGTCTATTCTCCGAAGGTCTGTCGTCTGGTACCAGTATGAGCTGCGTGTCAGGGTTCTCTCGGCTTTGTCCTTGCTGTATGGCGGACCGGATTCCGTTCTGTAGAGCTGTTATCCAACAGTTGAGCATTTCTTCGGAGTCTGCTTGAAGCATATGGCTCCTGGAAATTAATTTCGGTTGGCATATAATACAAGATAGTCTTTACCATAGCCTATGTCAAGATTGTTATGATAATGAGAATAAGAATTCTTCTTTCAGAGTTCAGACGAAAGAAAAGGGTCTAAAGATGTTAAGGAATCTTTAACATAACGGAAGCCAGAAATCTTTTACTGCTAAAGGAACCTTTTAAGAGGGCCATATTTGCTATTAAATGTTATTTATTTATATCTTGTTTTATTAATTTTTAATTACAATGTTATTATTGTATTGTCACTGTTTTGTAATACTCTGTCATTTCCTTATTTTTTTGCTTTCATTATTGTTCTTTATTATCTATAGAAGTATCTGTATTTATTTCTACTTTTCTTTTTTAATTTTGCATTTATTTTCATCTGTGTGAGTGCCTACTGTCGAATAAATGCTTTTTCTTTCTTTGCTACAACCGCCAATTTACGGATCTTCGTTAAGCTACCAAACATTTTGATAATACTGTTGTGCGTAGCCCGGTTGCTGCTAGAGGCATTTTTAGCACATATTCGGGATGTGATACAAAATAATATGACAAGATACTAATTCAAAATGTATTCCTTTAGATGTAAAATAATATTTGTAAATGTTGTACTTATGACACTTAGTGTATAATACTCACAATTGTATTTTGACAATTGTATTGGTGTAAACAAATGTTGGTACATCATACATAAAAAAAAATGTTGAATAAGATTTTGAGGATATTAGCTAACATATTGTTATATGGTGTTCATAACAACATAAAAATTAAGAAAATAATAAGTCCATTCAATATTAAAGATACGTATTAATCATCATCAACAGCCTATAAATACCCACTGCTGAGCAAAACCTCTTCTCACACGGAGAAGGTTTGAGCATTACTCACCACGCTTGCTCAATGCGGGTTAGCGATTACAGACTTATAATTAGAAATTATAAGCCCAGGTTTCCTCACGATGTTTTCCTTCACCGTTTGTCTGTTTTAGATAATCTTTGAAAGTACATATAACTCGGAAAATGTCGCATTGGTACTTGCCGTTGGTAGGTTTCGAACCCGCACCCTCATGCATGAGAAGCGGGCCTCTTAAACCTCTGGGCCACCACGACACAGCTACATATTCATTCATCCAAATTAATTACCAATCACATAGTAAAAAGCCTTTAAACTGTCAAACACCAAGCGGTCACCGGTGACCGCAACCTATTGTTCTATAATTGTGTCTATAATGACGGTACTCGACGAGTTAAAACATGTATTCCAATATAAATTCGTTTTAGTTTATCTATGCCGTATAATACTTACTTAGATGGTGACAACACTTCGAAACAGTACCGACGCTCGCCATCCAGCACCGGTTTCACAGTACACAGTCTCAAGTCTTCTTCCATTACTGTCACATTCAACTCCCCTGTCCTTTTCCTAAACAAATAAAGACTAATTTAGAATAATGTCATGGACAAAATTAGAAAAAAAGAGAATACTGACAGTTAAGAAACTTGTTTTAGCAGACCTAGTGGTTTTCACTTTTTTTTTTTTTAAACGTTGTCCCACACTAGGATTTTCTCCTGTGTCGTGGGTGCGTTTACAAACATACAAGTTCACATACACAATATGACACCCAGACCCGAAACAACAATTTGTGGATCACACAAAGTGTTGTTCCGTGCGGGAATCGAACCCGCGACACGTTGCACGGCAGCCGGTTGCCCAGCCACCGCACCAACCGTGCAGTCAAGTTTAAATTCTTTGTATAGAGATTGGTATGATGATGTTTTAAAGAACATAACATAGCATCACGCCTTTTATCCCCGAAGGGGGTAGCAGAGGTGCACACAGAAGTAACACCCACTTTTCACTATTTATGTTATGAGTCTCATGTAATAGGGGGTAAGCCTATTGCCATATACCGGGCACATTTCCAGACTCCGTGCTACTACTGAGATTTTTTTTAAATCCAGTAATACTTTACCCGACCTGGGAATCGAACCCGAGACCCCCTTGCCCGGTAGTCGCACTGGCGACCACACGGCCAACGAGGCAGTTTTAAAGAAAATCTAATAATATAGATACCAACTGCACTCAATCGCATTTGAAGTTCATACCTGACGGCATACATGATAATATCAAATCCACATTTCAAAAATCAACTGATTAGAGCAATTGAGCAAAACAATGCAATTGCAATTATTTTATACAATCTAATCTAATCGAACCGATCTAGTTGAACTAATAAACAATACCGATAAGAATAGGTACCGCCTAGCTTATGACGTCACTGGCCTACATAACAAACGTTGAATCAAAAACCGCAAACAACTCGTAAGGCCTTAGTACGAATTCGTTTTACGTTTAAAGTAATCGCGACAAGTTCGGTGGTCTGATTGGTTGGTTAACTTGGAGCAGCCAATAAGAACACCGAACGTCATAAACGCGTTAATCGCGTTAACGTAAGCCAAACTTGCACTAGGCACTCAGTACTCTACTCACCTATACACTAGACGATTGTCGTATAAATAAAACCATCTCCTATTCCATGTCTTGAAGGCATTCGATGTCCTTTTGAAGAGATATCCTTGCATTCGAGGTAGGCTTTTGAGGCACGGTGTACTCAACAAACCATCTTTGCAATCTCCTTCAGCTTCACTGGTCTTACAGCTGGGTAGTACGGTGTCCTTACTGTTCACAATCGTATGGCGATTCTCCATCTCTTTGTCAAGTATTTTTGTGTCGTTACGCATAGCTGCGATCTGGAAATTTGATCATTAGTGAATATTTCTATGATTGAATACTTTTTGTAACGAACACGCTTTGACGCGGCACCACTTTGTGCATCACGGTCAATTTGCGTTGTTATGTCGTCAATTTTAAGTATATCGTTACTTATAAGTAAATTTGATTTATGTGTAGTTCGTAATAGTAGTCAATTAGCTAGTCATTTTTAAAAGTAAATTACACATCCGTTGTGTCATGAACAAACTAATATGTGGTAATTTGACGATATTGGGTCTTATTGCAGTATATATAAGTCACAACTTTTTGAATGCTACAGGCCTGGCCAGTGATAAGGGCAGGTCCATACACACTCAAATACTTTTAAGTTATCTATCACTTAACACACAAAATAAAGTAATCACACAAAAGAAGCAAAAGAAGAGAACTTACATCTTCTGCGGTGGTCTTAAGGAATGGTTCCAAATCCTCCGATAAGTCGGCACCTTGATGGTAATAGGTGCAGCACGCTTGCAAGTACGACAGGAACTGAAATAGATAAGCTTCATTTACATAATAAGTCATAAACTACTAACAAAGTGTCTTAAGTAAATTTTGAACATTATTGCAAAACAATAAGGTTGGAAATCGATGGCAGAAGTTTGCAAGTGTGTACTCCGAAGCTAATGAAAGTAAGAACAGTACTGATATCAGATGGTGCCTATCTATTCATTATACACTTTCATTACAAAGCCTCTCCATTTAATCTAAAGTGTTTGGTTCCTACGATCGACGTAAGTAAGTATACCTAGCACTATAAAAATGTATTACCATTCGTTAGTCTCGCTAAAACTTGAGAACGGATGAACTGATTTCGGTAATTTTTGCCTAGAAGTGTTCGTGGAAGTTCAGGGAAGGTTTAAAGGGAAATAAAAACCATTTTCAGGCGATTCTAAGTTTGTCGTGTCAGCTAGTTATAAATAAAGATTTAATTATAAGCTTGTTTGCATTCATCAACAGCCTATAAATGCCCACTGCTGAGCAAAACCTCTTCTCACACGGAGAAGGTTTGAGCATTAATCACCACGCTTGCTCAATGCGGGTTGGCGATTACAAACTTATAATTAGAAATATAAGCCCAGGTTTCCTCACGATGTTTTCCTTCACCGTTTGTCAGTAGTGTCTAGATAATCTTAGAAAGTACATATAACTCGGAAAAAGTCACATTGGTACTTGCCGTTGGTAGGTTTCGAACTCGCACCCTCATGCATTAGAAGCGGGCGTCTTAAACCTCCGGGCCACCACGACAGTTGTTTGCATTAAGTAACTACATAATTATTATATTTACTGTCCCGATAGATCGTACAGAAATGTCGTCTCTAGAGTACTAGGCAAACTTCTTAAATTTCACGTGGGCGTGGGTGAAGCCGCTGACACAAAGCTAGTTGATAATATTATAATGGTTACCTACTTAATTGTCATTACGGGAAAATTGAACCGAGAAATAAAGAAGTCAAAAGCCTTAATAATATTCCTTTTCCGGTGCAGAAGAAGTGTAGTGTAAAATTTTATTAATCTAAACGATAATTATAAGTCTTAGGTGTAATTAAGACAATATTATACCTTTTGGTAGGTAATCATTATTAAAAATATCTAATCGAAACGATAGCGGTAGAAATTAGGTCAAAAATATTTTATCACCCCGATTTAAAAGACAGTTTCCTTAATGACTGCCTTGTTGGCCGAATGGTCGCAATTACGACTGCCGGGCAAGGGGTCTCGGGTTCGATTTCCGGGTCGGGCAAAGTATTACTGAGCTTTTTAATCTCGGTAGTAGCACGTAGTCTGGAATTGTGCCCGGTATATGGCAATAGGCTCACCCCCTATTACATGGGACTCATAAACTCATGTTACATTGTATAGTGGCATTAAGTGCCGTAATGTACACCTCTGCTTACCCCTTCGGGAATAAAAGGCGTGATATTATGTTATGTTATGTTTCTTTAGTAAAAATATGGAACAAAATTTATACTGAAATAAAAGTAGATAGCTTTTCGCACGCTATTTGGACATGAGCACCTACATAGGTAAATTATATTTGCCCTATATTAGCATTGAGTCACACCCAGCCGTACCCACTGGGAAACTGAACAAGTAATTGTGCCAAAGAGTTTTTATTAAATTGAAAAAGCATAGAAAGTTAAAATAAGGTGTCGTGAGTCGTGACCTGTTGCTTTAGTTTTTATTTATACAACGCACTGGTGAAAGTCACGATCCAATCATTATGAAATTGCTTGAGTAAGCTTTCTTCTCGCCTTACTGCACTTTGGTTTGTGTGGCTGATGTATAGTAGTTACTTTATTGGGCTACACAGGCTACACTATACGGATATACTCCAAATATTTTGCAATACGTTTTAAAAACAATTCGCGTTTGAAGATGCTAAGTAAGTTAATAAAATAACTAACTTTTTTAACACATTGAACCTATATGTATAGCGGAGGATTTGCAAGCAACCGCTTTCCTGATGAACGTTCGAAGTGAGGTCGATCGCAGTCTCGACCGTCATTGATCGAAATTTTTCTCACAACCAATCACATGGCAGGCTGCGATAGAGTTCACTTCGATTTTTCGAATTCAAAGTTAAAGAATAACCAAGCAGATTCGTTTATAATCAATCTATTTTCCCGTTGAGTTTTCCTTATTCAAATAATAACTGTCATAATTGGACATATCTTTATGGGATACTTACCGACTTTTGTGTAATTGAGATCAAACTAAATATAGTCTGCTACATGCGAATAACATTAAGGTATAGAAGAACAATGACGTCAAAACCCCACGCCCCCGAACCTATGCGTAACGATTTGAGTCATAAATAGCTTAATAGTATACCATAATTATATTAAGGAGACCCTGTCTTGTCGACGAAGATATTCATAGGACATCTACCAGCTATAAATAGATCTCATTGACGTAATCCATCCCACATAAATAGACATTATACTTAATTTGAGAGACTATAACTAAATATTAAATAATCATAATCTACCGACAGATGATAGGTCATTGAGACTTGGATCTTAAAAAAATACTTAACTTAATAAATTGAACTTGATCTTAATAACTTGGATCTTAATAAATTGATATAATAAAAAAAAATTACGTAAGACTTCGTAAGACTTCGTAAGAAAACAGAAGGTAAAGAATCACTTAGGCACATTAAATGTAACTTAACCCTAAGTTAAAGTGAGGGGGTGGGTTGTCTTTGACGTAGTTCACGTCGAAATCCAACCGTAAGTCAACAGATCTTCTATTTCTTTTTTTGTATATTAGTGCAGCTTCGACAGGCCATGAGGTACTGCGGGACTTTGCGGTCGGTTTTCATATGGGGCACAGCATTATATTACAGTATCTGAGTAGTGAAGAATGCTACCAAAAATCATAAAATTAAATGTTTTAACATTTAGACACAGTTTGCTCGTTTCAAACAATAGATTCGATATGGAGAAGAACAAGTAAGAAACTTCATGGTCATTGTTTTTAAGACTGTATGTTATTGTAGAGCAAGGAGCCGCGGAGGACTTAACGGTTTGGCTCTGGCTCGAAATGCAGGAGTAGGAACGGGGTGGTTTTTAGTCAGTAAGAGTCTGACACAAGTCATTCGATGATTTTTTCCCCCCTTAAAAAAGTGTAGAGCAACGAGTTTGGAACTTTGTATGGACACCACAAATTAATTGTTTTTTTGTATTAAGTATTATCAGCAAACTATTGAATACAAAGTATCGCTATTATTTCTAGTTTCCTTTTCACTACACTTTAGCGTTTTATTAATGAGTCATGGGTGAGCTAAGTAAGTCAGGTACCTTCTTAGAACATTGTGATTCAGATTCTACGGTAATTATCATTTGGTTTGTTTACTCTATTTTCAAAGATAAGGATATTTTAGTATCTTTATTTGCGTCCTACATAGAAGGCTGGTGGAGTTTTGTACAATAAGTAAATGACCGTAAGTGCTATTTTTACTTAATAGGACTTAATTCAATTCACTGCGCACTTGTGTCTTAAACGGCTTACTTAGGTTTGAATCTGTTTAGTACGTACTTACCTTGCAGTAAAAAACGTATAGGACTTTAAAAATCCCAAAAAATCCTTGATTTGTGTACAGTATTTTCAACCCTATCACACATAAAATAACACAAAAATTAACTTGTCACGTTCGAAAAGCACTTAACAAAACCGTCAATTCACTGATTCATCGCAGAACTAGTAGAGTATGAACACTGTTATTTTTGAACAAAAAGTCAGTGGTTTAGCAGCCCGACACATAACTGTCGACTGAAGACGACACCGTCAGATTAGTTGTGCACTCCTTAGCAAGGCTGACTTGCCAACTAGAGGTGCGTCGCAAAACGTACTGCTCAATATGATATCTGCGAATAGTGCTAATGAGTAACAACTCTATTGTCAGATACGTTATCTATTATCAAGGAAGTGAACTCGATAAATAAATTAATCGAAGAAAACTATATTTGGTAATTGTTTGAGTACAACACTTCCTTATTACATTTTAACCCATTTGGATCTGCCGTCCCCATACGGGGACAGGTCTTCTTTTACCCGCTGGTTATTCATTTTTTTAGCTATCTTCAATTTTCATTAGTATTTTTTATGAGGAGTAGTGTACTTTCCTAAAATTATTAGAAGTTTTGACAAATTGCTACAAAAAGGGGGTCATATTGACAATTTTATCAAGAGGAAGTGAAATGGGAATTATTATCGAAAGCAGAGCCGTTTTATAGTATGTTACTATGAAGAATTATAAAACTTTTTTGTGATTATTGCTTGCTTATAGTGTCATTTAAAACAATATTGAAGAATATCCTTATACTTTCAATTCCGCTTAGGGGAAAGTTAGAAAATATTATGATGTCCCCGTTTGGGGACAATGGGCACATCTGTAGTTTATTTTTAAAACATTTATACCTGATTTGTATTTTGTTTTCCAATTTATAAAGGTCACCTATAGGCTAAACTTAGTTATAGCTAATACTTGGTGACTACATACGCTAATTCACGAAAAGCATCACCAATCCTATATCAAATCTTATCTTTACGCGTTCATATTTAAAATCTGATGGGCATCAAGATCGACGATGCAGAACTCCATCTACAGTACCAGGCGTCGCATCCGATATCAGAATTCAGCGGTAGGGGGCATTTCCTCCAGCTGTATTCTGGTGTCGCCACAGCGAGGTCCACCCAGAGGATAGAGTAGCATTATGCCCTGTATACATTGAGCACCACCGTCTCCTCCGGGAAGTGATCGATGACGATAATCTTCAACGTCCAGCTTTGGTTCTGGTGGTGCGGAGCGAGGGGGGAACTGGAAAACCATCGCTTTCTGCGAAGCAGTCATAGTAGCAAGAACAGATCGCCGCCCAGAACCAGACCTGAACCTATAAGGCGCGTGGCGTTACGCGCGCGCTTCAAAGTGCTATCAGACCGCCTTAGATCGAGATGGCTCAGTAGGACAGATGCCCGACCAC